CACAACATTGAACAGGGGGCCGGGGGGATTGGCGTTTGTTGAAATTCAAAGGTTTTGTGGCATCTGTCCCAAGACTTTTGAAACTGATTGTCTCAAAGGCAATGAAAAGCATATTTAACCTCTTTGAATTACCGATCGTTTTAGAATATCAGTTTTGCGAAAACCATATAGCATTTAGTATAACGTATTTACAGAATTGCATTGGCATATGTAATGCTCTTACTGCGCTTGTTGTGAAAATACAAAATAACAGTAACTCCGAATAACATTTTGATTTTTAATCGACGTTTCGACTAGTTTGTAGTCATCCTCAGGATTAATTATCAAAATGTTACTCGTCGATTAAAAATCAAAATGTTATTCGGAGTTACTGTTATTTTGTATTTTCTTAAAATACTGAGTGGTTCCCGTAATTATTGGCCAAATCTCTGTGCTTGTTGTGGTCAATATCTTTGAAATATAACACAATCCAACAGACTGAACAGTGATATGTAGAGAAAGAAGTTTGCCGAGAGATTAAGGGATAAAACACATCTATCTGGTTAATTATCGACCTAGGTTATTGCAAAATAAAATGCAAGGGTAAGTTATCGAAGACCACTGAAAGATTGTGTATATTTGACATGAAAATATGTATGTAACATAAAACGGCTTGAACACGTGCTCGCTTGACACTCGGTTGTCACTTTCAAGCACATAGCATTTTCATTGATATAACTTTCAGTATATTAAGTACTAAGCAAAAGGAGTAAGCTAAGTACTAAGCTAAGGAGTAGGAACAGAATATAGGATGATAAAAGCTGGGTCCATGGATTATGTCTTAGGGTAACTTTCAGCCTCAACTAGACAACAGCCGTTTCATAACATACGTTTTTGCAAACAAATAAATCGTTACTGTCAGAATATTGTTCACATCAACATTTAAGGTGGCTCGATACACTTTCGGCGTAAATGTTTAAACACGCGTGATTTATTTCCTGTTGGTTGCAGAGTCATAAAAACGCACAAACTAGTAAAGAATACCGAATTGATTAAGAACAATTAATATGCGCGAGTTTGCTCTGTTGCTATGGCAACAATACGCATGCAAACATTCGAAAATATGGCAAATACGAGCGTTTATTTCAGAAATGAGGTCGGTGACCCCCATTTTTTAAATAGGTAATCGTTTTTATTTCTTTCAATGAAGCTTGTGTAAAAGTTTTAAAAAAATCTGTAATGCCAAATTTGCAGAATTGAAAATTGCCTTTTAATAAAATTTCGCATTGCAGATTTTTGAGATATTGTATTATAATTACACTTAGGGACCAGTCATTATTTATGGTGGGGGGTGGCACCGAAGAGAAAAGGGTTGGGTAAACTAAATTTTGAGTAAGTAAAAGGTTGGGTAAATGAAAAACAAAACAACTCAAGGGTTGGGTAATAAAAAAATATTTCCAAAGCATGACTCGCTGAAGTATTGGGGACTAAAAAGCAATGGCAACAGTAGGCCACCCCAGAGTAGGCCGCCATATGTCAATACAATATGTGAATCAATCAGAGTCACTATCTTGATCAATTTCCGATGGGATCTCCAAAGAAAGTACATGTGCGGACAACATGAAACTTTAGACTGCAGAAAATTTCACAATCTGTTATCAAACTTATGTCACAGAAGTGGTAAAGGACATATGTGACAACTGAATGGTACCTTTTGTAAATTTTTTGGCCAGGGGTGGGTATTTATTTTTTAATTGATATTTGAGGTTGGATAATCAGGGTTTTTTTACTTTTTAATGGTTGGGTCAGCAACATTTTTGCCACGAAAAACATTTCTCTTCGGTGCCACCCCCCACCATAAATAATGACCGGCCCCTTAGCGCGTATATATCTATTTCTATGCAAAATTTCAGGGTTCCTTACCGAACTCGTTTTCTCAATAATCAAGGTTTTGTATGTCTACAGATTCGGCGCGGCCAAAGTTTTTTGCCTTCTGCAGAATCAATGGATTGACATGCGTGTACATGTATTCGCAGGCGCAAGTTCACGCGACCGAACCAAAACACGCAACATTTGAAGAAACGGCATGGGGATTTTATTGTTGTTCTTGATCGTGAGTTTTATATCCGTACTTCGATTCAAAGTGCAGTAAAATGTTTTTGAGAATCCTTTTATGATTCGTTACTCTTGGTTTCTTGTCACCGGATCGCATACACTTTGGTTGTTGTTGACAATAATTCACTGTTGATAATATTCCAACGACGCCAGCATCACCGAATGTTTGGTACAAACAACAAAGGTCTTTGTAAGACAAGCCAGAACCAGCGATTTTTAAAGTCATGCTGCGTGTGATTGGACTTTCACTTGCTTGTGGACAATATAAACCTACAAACGTTTGGAAAAGCTCGAGTCGTTTGTCTCATGGCCGGAAATGGAGGACATCAAGCGGTTGAGCGTGCGGGCTCATGTTTTCTTAATAATTCAATGCACTATACAGATCAGTGGTTCAGTTTTGGCAAAATGGCTGTTTATTTTTACTAGTATAGCTCAGTGAGTTTTACCGAGAACTAAATAATCTGAGCACGGCAGATTTATAAATTGAAAATAAGAAGAGATAAGCTAATGAATGGCTTTCAACACATAATTTCCATTGCAAACAAGTATACATAGAGCGCAAAGGCGGAATATCCGACATTGCAAATACAACCAGATATATAGAAAACAAGCAATATTATAAAATATAACAAACTTTACGCCAACCGAGTCTTGATCGATGCTCAAATTTCAAAAGTCTACCAATACTCAATAGTTATAAATGTTTTGAAGTCGGCAAATCAAAATTATTACGAAATCCCGTGAATTTTAGAATGTTTACGAGACTACAGCCTATATTAACAGCGGTTGAAATCATTGTAACGTAGCAACAGCTTTATAAAAGCAATGGCGGACAACAAATATAACTCTTGGTGCGAAATTTGTGATATTTTTGTTCAAAATATGGTGCATTTCTCATCACAATTGGACAGACACCTCTCTACAAAATACATGCAATTCATCGCTTTGGGGAACATACTAGTGTATACGTTTACGCTTCATACAAGTGACAATAATAAAGAGGAATACTGTACAAAGCAATTCAGATATGCACATTTGACGATATCTGTAAAGAACGAGTTGAAATTGGACCTGCAAAATACCGAATATGTCGAAATCACATACTTTCTTATGCAGAGACTAAGCAGAGATATTGATTGCTCGGGAACATACTTAGACAACTCGAGTGGTACCAATTTTTTTACGGATAAAAGTTGGGTAGAATCGGTGAAGTTTTAGATATGCACATTTTGGATTTCTCAACCGTAAGTTATCAAAAATACAAATTTTGCATTATTCCCATTCAAATTATATAAGAAGACGCCATTTTGAATTTTTATTTCGAGTCAAAATGCGCATGCTTGGCAGCCATGTTGGACTCCATTTCTGGCCATGATGTAATCCAAGTCCATTCTCGCATCACGAACTGTTTGTATTTGCCTGCCGTTGACTATAGTTCTGATGTCAATTGCTAGTTCAGGACTGAATAATATCTTTCGAAGAGCTTTGACATCCTCTAAGGCATCGTGAGCGTTGAACTCGTCTTTAAACAAGCACTGATAAACACTACTTATATTTGCACGACAGTAATCTCCATTTGTCAACTTCAGAGGGGCATGCTGGCTTTGAATTTTAAAGACTTGATAAGTGGTAAGCTGTCACCAAAATTGACATTGATCTGATCAAGCTGTTCATCGTATAATTTCCCCGAATTTCGTAAAAGCACTGGAACGTCAAAGACAGCTGCATTGTGGCCAATAAGAACTGGTATAGATTGAGTACCGCAAAAATTGATGGAACAAACTTGTTGTATAAATTTCATGAAGCTTGACAAGGCGTTTTCAAGGGACATTGCTGCAACAGGAACAGAGTTTTTACACAATGATCTTGTTACTCGCTGGGGCACCTGTGCCCCAGACGAGTATAGGTTTCGCCACGCATGGTGGATGTCAGATTTCCGTCGATAGCCACAAAATAGAATATTAATGAGGTGCCTAATTTCCCCCCAATTATCCATAAGGCTCCTGCCAATTTTGCCCAAATTATCCATAAATAGCCCTCCATTTTGAGGAAAATTCGGGAAAATTGAACAATTTTACAAGGAATTCCGCATGGAAACAGCAACCTTCGCAATCTCGTTCCCCGAGCATGCCCGTTCGCAGGTTAAGGGTGGGCATAGCTCTGGAGAAATCGAATTGATTCAGGCCTGTGATTGGCTAACGGCAGATATAGTACGTTGGATTTCCAACGTGAGTTCTATATAAACAAAGTATTTGGAATTTCTCGTCGAAAATTTGATACTTTTTACACTGAAATCGATCGAAAACTGGAGGAAATATGTGCGAAAGCTGCGGATTGATAGGGATACAACTACCTGAAAAATACAAGGAGAACTTCGACGTTTCGAGCGAAGGCGCTTCGACTTGTGCTGTTTAATAGTGTTTGTATACATCATACTTGACCTTTTATATACTGCCATACCTAACACTACGTACAGGGGCGTAGGAAGCATCCTAAGACTGGGGGGGGGGGCACCGGCTTTCAAGGGCGCTTTTGGATAATAAAAGGGGCACCTAAATTATACAAGGAAGATTGCTTAAGCTGGGACTTGCAAGGTCGCAAGGATAATAGTGTGGTTTGGTGTTTATGTAGTCTCTGTAAAGCAGATAGTGAATTAGTTGAAAACAAAAATCAACATTCACAAAATCATTTCAATTTTATAATAAATCTTCCATTAGCCCATCAGTTATTAATGCTAACAATACAGTATTATAATTTATGACTAATTAACTGTAACAATTCCTATTGTCTGTATATTGTTTGGACTCGCGTGTCCCGCGCGAAAACATAACACTTTCTCGTCTTTTCATTTTGTCAGTGAAACAGTGTACAATTTGAATGGACATTGACATTGTATAGCGTACACATTAAAATTTCCCAAAATATTTTAATCGCCTGTCATTTTTCTGAACAAATTCTCTAGCAAGTTTGATGAGATCGATACTATCTGTTTTCTCCTTGTGAATGTTAAGCACCAGGAGATTATTATATCTTCTCTCTGACATCGTATTTCTAAGGTAACTTTTTATTTGTCGTTGTACTGAAAAGGATCTTTCAGCGGACGCTGCACTCATTGGGGCCAAAAGATATATTTGAATTAAACGCACAACACTTGGCAAGATTACTCTATTTTGGCCATTGTTCGCCACTGAAATCTCCGTGTCTAGTGATGTTGCTCGTTTAACGTCAGGCAAACATTGTCTCATTAAACTAGGTAGGAGTTTCAATTCAGCTGTGACTTGATCAAAATCAATTCTATTGCTGTACGTTTTCCTTAGAGTATCGTTAAATTCAAATAGCTCTCGGTTTGCAGCATTGAGGAAAGCGTCTTCAATTTGTCGAAGTGGTTCATATGATTTCTCATCGAATCTTCGATTCAACTCACTCAGGCAGGCATCGATCGCCTCAAAATACTGTGCGCGAAACATGGATTTCTCTGATTCGAAATGGTGCTGCTCGGCATCGCCATCATGCAAACGACGAAGTACTTTGTGTGGACGAGGGATGGTTGGCTCTTTTACCATGCTAAGGACTGCCGCCTTTTCAGATATTTGCTCAAAGAAAACGTCATAACCATCTCTTTGCTGTTGCAAATTGTCTTTTAAAGCCTGTACTCCTGCCATGACGGTCTGAGCTAGGATTCCTTTGGTTTGCATTGTGATTGAAAGTTGCTCTGAAACGCTGAAAATGTGAACCGCAAAATGTAGTCCAAAGAACGTCGCAAACTTGGTCATCTTCCTTGCAAGGCCTGCGGATTTATCACGAATTTCACGAGTTGAGGCAGTTCTGGATATACTCAGCAACGTATCATATAGGGCTTGGTAACTGTTTAACACTGCTAATATGGCCTTGGTTCTAATGGTCCAACGAGTAGGACAAAGAAGATGAAGGCTTTCGACATGCTCGTTATCTTCCAGCGACTCGCTTGCAATGTTCTCTCATAGGTAGACATTCTCAAAGGAGAGTGACGGATAAAAACTGCTAAATCCTGTACAAAGCTTAGAGTATCGCCAATAATCTTGCTCTCATTTGCACAGCCTTTCAATGCCAAATCTAATCTGTGGTTAGAACAATGGATACGGAAAGCGACCGGGTTTTCATTTTGTAGCCCAGCCACAACTCCACTAAGATGACCACTCATTGTTGCTGCTCCATCGTAAGCCTGCCAAAAACAATCGTTTAGGTTGAGACTACATCTCAGCAAAATGTCTTTCAAAGAAGCTGCTATAGTCTCGGCATCGGGTTTCTCGACCAGGTACATTCCAATAAAATCTTCATGGGTCATCAGATCGGACAGAGATACCCATCGAAGTATACACGTTAGCTGCTCTTTATTGCTGATGTCACGAGACTCGTCTGCAATTAACCCGAAGAATCCAGAGTTATTCCGAATGTCCTCTAAAATCGATCGTAAGGCTGTATTACCCATCATTTCGAGGAGCTCATTGATTATAATGGGACTTAGGTATTGTCTATTCTCAATCCAGTTGTTCAGTTCAGGAACATCTTCAGCCCTTGTTTTAAGCAGTTGAATAAGATTACTATCTATACGTTCGTGTCCCCGTAATGCAAGACCTTGGCGTACCAGATACTTTAGGCTGCTTAGCTGTTTCAGAAATAAATATCGATGAAGTTCTTGGTTACCTTTATATTTGTCATTAAGCTGAGCTCCAACATTCATTTTAGCATTGTTCAAGCAACTAATTTTCTCAATTGCTTCTCTGTGAAAATTGGAATTGTGGTGCTTTTCAAGTTTTTCTTGCCATCTTTTCCAATTGGCAAAAGTTGCCGCACAGAAAGCATTGTTCTTATAATTAGTAAATGTTATTAGCCCCTTTTCGCTCGCCGTTTTGCAAAAAAAACATGCTATGCTGCCTTGCGTTAGACAATACGTAGCCCATGAATACTTCGAAAAAATTGACATTGGACACTGCCGATGTTTCCCATCCGGGGACGTCTGCCTGACAGATGTTTTCTTCAATTCATCAAACGTTGGCTGGTATATACGACTTTGTGTGCAACATGGAGACTGACGACCTGGACTTGGAGTTGTTGAAGGATGAGTACTGGTGGGATCTGATTCTGGAATAAGCGTGTCAAGAAATGATTCGCTTTCAAGAATGGTTTCGCTTGGTACCGAAATAGCTGGAGTAACGGAAAACGAATCGTTGTTTGTTTCAGGCCAATCAGGATCATTACTCACCGAAAGGGAATCTTCCTCGTCGCTGCTCGACTCATTGACGTTGCCAACCAATAGCGAATCGTCGTCGTTAATGTTTATTCCAGAGTCGTTGTTTACTGGAGTTGTACATGTAATCACCTCCGTAGACGTAGGTATCCCAGATACGAATTCGACGTCATGCTCACGGTTGTTTTTATGAAGGACGTTCGAGAGGCTAGTATTTGCTGATTCATTATTAGTGTTTGTGACTTGAACCGACTGATGCGTTATCTTTGTGAAACCAAAACAACTAAGTTTCGGCACATTCGAAGCTGCCGTATGGAGTTTCCCTTCTCGTTGTCTTTTGCATCGCTCTTTATTTGGCATTTTTCATTCAACATTCTTATTTATTGATTATATTTTGTGTAAAAATTAATTTCGAATTGCAACGTTCAAAGAACGTTTTAGACGGGCTTCCACTTTTTAAATTAAAAATGCCCAGTTTTTGACCGAAAATTAATTTCTTAAAATATATCAAAATTTCCTATAAATTTATTTTATTGAGTTTGCCTACAATACATGATGCAAAAAGGGCATATTGCAATGTGTCTCGCCAGTTTAGAACCAAACTCAGGCACTCTTATTAAAATGTTACTTGTAATTACAAAGATAAAACCTAAATAGCTCGTGTAAATTCGAAAAAGGCGTATCGCAATGTGTTCAGGAAACACAAAGTGCACTTTCGATCCCAGTAATTAGTATGCCGACACATAACTGGCTTGTGTAAAACTGAAAACTGCGGAACGGCAAATAATATTGTTTTTACTGTTTAACAAACAAAAGAGCATCCTATATTTGCAATTTTAAAGCAGTGTTTGCGACATAAATGCCCATGTGTAGAAACGTCACCGTTGGCGTTTGCTTTTAGCAACGCATGTCTTTCACGTGATTTGTGCGTAGAACGCCCAAAAACTATGAAGTCAAAGTTCAGCTGTTCACGTGTGAAACACATGCAAAGGCAAATTGGGACGTTTCTAAAGCCAAACATGCATGTTTCATGCGTGAAACTACGCGTTTAAAACAGGCGTGTTCGAGGTCATTTGGGTTCCGTAGTGTTTGTGAAATAAAAAAGCTTTTTCCATCGCAAAACTCTATTAGTATTTACAACATTGTATTAGCATTTACAACCAGCTTATAATTGTGTAAAAGCGCATATGTAATTTGTAAATGTATTTAGGAAACAAATAGGGCACCTTCAATGTTATTATGCAGATAGGCTTGAAAGAAAAGGGCACTTTTCATCACAAAAAAGGGCACTTTTTACCTTTTAAAAAATTGGGGGGGGGCACGTGCCCCCGTGCCCCCCCCCCCCGGTTCTTACGCCCCTGACTACGTATACCATAAATTCTGACAGAAGAGTTAAATGTAAATCTTAAAGCATAAAAATATATAACACTTATTATTGAGGAGATTATATTTATCAGCAAAGGTCAAGTACGATATATACAAACACTAACAGTACAGATCGAAGTGCCTTCGCTCGAAACGTCAAAGTTCTCCTTGTATTTTTCAGGTAGTTGTATCCCTTATCCAACCGAGGCTTTCGTACATATTTCCCCCAGAATTTTTAGTTTTCAATTCGATTTCAGTGTAAAATGTATCAAATTTTCGACGCGAAATTCTAAATACTTTATTTATATTTTGCAACATTGGCGAGCATGCGTAGAACTCACGTCGGAAATTCAACGTGAATCAATTCGATTTCTCCAGAGCTATGCCCACCCTTAACCTGCGAACGGGCATGCTCGGGGAACGAGATTGCAACCTTCGCAAATCGCAAGTTTATAAAAGTTTATACGTTTGACTGCGCTGCTTTATATTTTGAGAAGAAAACGACGCCGTTCGATTCAGCGTAAGAAATTAATTGTACTTACAACTGTATTACTAGACACCAGTATTCTAGCGATTTATGGCCTTTGAAAATGAGGCGAAATTGTAGTACGTATTGCTGATCACAAATCACTCGCACTACGTTTGTCCACAGGTTTGTCTAGTTGTATTTGTAATGGCGCAATAAAGATTAAAATACCACTGTTCGATTCAGCGTAAGAAATTGTACTTACGGATGTCAAATGTGTTACTAAGCACCAGTATTCTAGCGATTTTATATGGCCAGATGGCCTTTGAAAATCAAGCGAAATTGTATTTGTTTACAAATCGCTCACAGTACGTTTCATAGTGTATTTGTAATGCCTAATGGCGCTAAACCACCGTTCGATTCAGCGTTAGAAAATGTACTAATTACGGATGTATTACTAAACAACAGTGTTCTAGCGATTTATGGCCTTTGTCTTTGAAAGCCAAGCGAAATTGTATTGTTGCCAATCACTCAAAATCATTAAAGTAATATTTTATTTTGAACGTTTTAAAGCGCAGTTTAATCCTAGACCAACTAGCAGCTGACAGTTTTGAAGAAGAATGTAGCGTACTAAATGTAACTTTATACTTGTAGGGCCTACCGCATTTTAGTACTGTATTGTTTTAAGCCATTCGCGCTTGCATTCGACTTTTCCGCATAGCTTGGTGAAAACCTTGAATAATAATTGAAAGAGCTGTGTACTGTATGTATCATGTACATTGTACAGTAACGTGCGTAGTTCTATAGCCCCAGCGAGTTCACGCTCCGTAGAGCGTCTTGTTCCATTTATATTTTCAACTGTAAGATTATTCACTCTAGATGCCCCAGGACTTATGTTACTTTTAGGCATAATATAAGAGGAGTACATGGAACCAGTTTGAGTGATCGCAGATAGTTGACATATTTCTGCCTTTGAACCAGTGTCTGAAGTCTCCAAGTCAAATATTATAAACTGGTAGGGCATTGTTTGGCTGTAAGTTTTATATACTACCTGCTGCCTTTCGATACAATGTGGAACAAGCTTGTCAAATTCCTCACACTGTTTTTTAGTAATTGTTTTGAATAATTTTCTAACTTGTGATCATTTGCATTTGATTCAATATTTGCAAGACCTGGTGTGTTTTCTGTTGACAAATTAAGACCAATACCAGTTTCATATGTTTTGCCTTCTTTAAAGGGGGGGATAAGTCCCTTCTGCGCATGTGCCCGGCGTTTGTTTATGTTTTGATACATTACACATGTTATAACATGAAGTATTGGCATTTTACAACAATATTTTATCAAACATGGCGATTGAAATGAGCGAAACTTGATATAGTTCACTTGTTTGTGTGGTGGTGCCTGCTTTTTATGAGAAATATAGAAACTTTTGACTTGTACAAGTTTGAATAATTTTCCTTTTGAACCGCATAGCGTGATAAACGTTAACACGCCGAATCATGCATGAAGTATGATCAACCGACGAATATGAATTGCTCAATGCCCGAGTGCTCTTTACGACTTTACTCAACAACAAGCTGACAATATGGAGTACACAACAGTAAGTTTAATGGTTTATATGTTGTTTGTTGTTGATAAATTCTAGTCTGCATGTTTTTGCATGGATTAACGATATATGAGAGCTTATCTTTCGTAAATACTGCACAAAATATATACCGCATTTGAATTGTTAGTAGATATATTTTCATCTACAATTTATAAAATTGATATACGAGTTGGACAATATTTTAAACCAACTGCATGTCCTGGTTATATATAGCTAAATTCTTAAAGCATATATAATTATTTTATTTGCAAAGATTGAAATGGTGAACAAAACAAGTTTTGACTTTTTTCCCCATTGTTAGCAGCAGCCTTGTCTTTGCCATTTCTCATGCTATTGTAAATTATGCAATTAACCTGAAAGTTATATTGCTTCCATGCATTAGGACACTTTCTCAAACATCATAAAGGCAGATTGCTATTGGGACAAGCAGTTATGCAATAGCATGAAGCATGAAGATCTCTGAAAGAGGCAAACCTATAGTCTGACTGCATTCTTTAATTTTGAGCCTTTCTATGCATGACAGGATTTAGTGTAAGATGTAAATGTTCAAGACTATCTGTGGAGAAAACACCGAATGATATAGGTAATGGTGAAATTCAAACGGGTTGCTGACTGTAATGAGTGCCGCTGAGAGGGGGCATTTTGGGCTTGGGAGTGATGGGACCCCAGATTAATGGGACCTCAGATTAAAGGGACCCCCCCCCCAAAGTCCCCCAAAGTCCCTTATACAAGATTGCTTAACCAATAATATAAATCCTAGCTGTGTCAGTGCTGGATAAATGATAATATGCAATAAAGTGCAATATATTATAAAACACTGCTTCTCCTGTTTTACAATTATGACATAGGGACCCGTGGGAAAGTTTTTCCCTGTACCCACACAACCTCTCGGTGTCCCGGACTGTTACCACCACCAAGTTCAACAATCAGATAGAAATCTTCATAGCTGGGGCTACTGTGTACATTTTGTACCCATACCAACACAAGAAGGAATAAGTGTTTTTCTAAATGAAGGTGATATTGCATAATTATTAAGAGGACAAGACTGAACTCTATCAAGAACTCCCATCAAGAACACTGTAATTCAAACAAAATGTTTTTGGCACAAATGTTCTGAAACAATAATTGCCAGGCATTATCGAGAAGATGTTCTTGTTTTAAATAACAACATAAACATGCATGCAAAACATCTGACATGCAGCATACAAACAGGATGCTATATGACAATGTCATAGCTACTGTGCCTTACCATAAATCCTCTAGCTATTGATATGCCCCCCCCCCATATCAATAGCTGTAATACATTTCAGTTTTAGAAAGGTGGGTGATGCCATGGGGACTTACATCTATTTTAGAGGGGGGGGGGGGAATAGGGGATTTATGGCAGATGGAATAATTGAAGGGTTGTTGCCTAGTCAACATTTGATTTCACTATTGTATGCTGGATACACTTCTTACTAGAATATCATGGTATAAAATAATATAATGTACAATGTCAGCTAGTGTTAATAATTTAATTAATGGCAGTTCTGAGTTGTCAGATCTCAAGACATATATTCCAATACAAATTCCAATATATCACCAGACAAATCTTGTGATATTGAAGTTCATTTTCAACTCCAGAATGCTGAAAGATACTACCATGCATTGCTTTTAATGAAAAAATAATATAGTTACTATAAAGATTATACAGTTGTCATATTTATTACTTCCTGAGGTGTAACTTCATGTACTGTGGGTGTATATCACAAAATCGTAAGAGTTCCAAGGCAACTCAACTGTCATGATAATGACTATATACCTCATGCTACTATGTTTCAGCCTACAGTATGAAAGTTTTCCAATACTAAAATAAAACTTTGCATGCATATACAAAAATTTATCTAGCTTGAAAGTTCGATAATTTTATACAACAATCATGCT